TATGACAAAGTTATTAAACTAAGACAAAGTTATTTTACAAGCAAGTCGAATTTGAGCTTCTTTTATACAATTAAATTAATTAGTAACAACTTCATTGCAATCTAACATTCTAGCCATGATATCGCACTTTAATTGCGACGTAAAATTCTAACCGTGATGCTAATTTCTAAATAAAGCTAACTAATTTCGACATTATACGAATAAAAATAAAAATGTAATACAAATAAAATAATAAAAATGTAAGTAAATATGAATAAGAAATAAGTAAATGTAGATATAAAAATAAAGTAAATAAAATAAAAATAGAAATAAAAGATTTGGTTCGGAATTAGGGTATTTCGACTAACAAATTAGCATTAAATCCTAATTCTGGTAACAGCAATTAAAAACGAAAGCAAAAGTTAAGTTCCAAAAATTACAAAGGCTAATCAAAAAGGAAAGACTTCACAACCAAGAAATGATTGCTCAAGTAGAAGTTAAGTCTAAATAACAAGTAAATTACAATGAGAGAACTGGAATACACAGTTTTAGAATTAGAAAAAGAAAGTAAAAAAACTTGTGATTTTTGCTCTAAACTTGAGAATAGAAATAACAAATCTGTTCATCAAATAAGAGCACGTAGTAAAGTAACTGGGGAATGAATTTCAGATGATGTGGTTTGTGAAAGATGCAAAGAAAAATATTGGAATGATGAATTGTCAAAGTGCAATAGATGTGGTAGATTGCAAACTAAGTTAGATTTTGATATTGTTAATGGTAAGAATGTTTGCTACTGTATTAGAAACAATGAAGATTTAGAAGAGAAGGAACTTCCTCTCTTACCTCATGAAGAAATAAGTCAGTCTACTTTTTATGAAAGACAAATAAACTCCCTACAAGAACAACTAAACAAGACTGAAGAAGCCTTAGAAATTGAAAGGGAAGAAGTAATCAAATTTCAAGAAAAGTCTGAGAAATGAGGTAAGAGGCAAAAGCAATAACTTTTGGATAGAATAAAGGAATTGGAGACTGAACTAGAAAGATTAAAAAATTAACCCAAAGAACTAGTTGATAAATTAAGTGTTAAAGAAAAGGAAATCAATGATTTAAAAGTTCAATTAACCCAATTGCAACAACAGAATAGTAAAATTGCTCAAATTGAAGTCAGACTAAAAGATGGTCTTGATTGAAAATAAAAAAGTAATTTTTGGTTATTTCCCTCTGTATAATTCCAACTATCAAAGAAAATGATAGTTATTTTCCTTTTAAAGGTTTCTGCTTTTTATTAGGTAATAATGCATCTTCATTCTGCTTTCTTTTTCCAACATTTATTAGTTTTCTTTCTTGGTAAATTTCATAGGTAATCTTTTCTTTCCTTAGATAAGTTTCTAGTGTCTGAGTATCATTTATTTTGAAAATGTAAGGAGCAATTTTTTCACCTTATCCTTTCTTCAAAATGCTTCTAATGGTGCTATAATTCTTAGGTTCCATAGTAGATCTGATATAAATTAGTTTCATATTAATTATTTTTGTATAGAGGTAATTCTATATATCACTTAAGATAACAATGGGATATTATAAACTGATAATTATAATCATATTACAAATGACTAAATTTTGATCCCTGAAATTCTTGGTGATATAAATGTTCACTTTGTCTGGTTTGTTGCAGCATGTCCCATATTATAAAACATATTATACAAAAAAAATATTTATTTATTCTTAAAGATGATAATGTCAAGATTTTTTTTAATAAAAACAAGAAATAATTATAATAATAATAATTATTATTATTATACAACAATATAAGAGTAACAATAAAATAAATAAATGCCAGAAACTTGCAAATGTCATATTTCAAAACCATGTCATTAAAGGTCTGTCAGTTTAAACACTTGTGCTTTGTGTCATGGAGTGAACATTTTCTGATATTTATAAATAATTTCAAATCACCAATTTATTATTTGATTGAGAGCATTTTCTAATTCTATTTCACTGGTATCATTTTCATCTTCATTATTATCATCAATTTCCTCATTTAACATTTCATTGTTATTTTCCACTTCTTTTTCTAATCTATTAACATAAGATTTTACATTTGTAGTAATCCCATTTTCATAAAACTCTAGACAATATTTAAATTTCTACCAATTGTATTATAACAATTCAAATGATATCCATGTCACATATCAGCACCAAACCAGTAGGATTATAATTACTTGCAAATTTTTGTTTGCAATGATCACAATTATCAATCAATGGTCTAAATAAAGTGTGAAATGCTGTAGGTAAATTTTTTAATTTTACATTTTGATTTAGTGCTGCAAAATAGATCTTATTCTTGTTA